CCCCCCCACCATCTGAATGACAAACAGTCAGTGCTATGGAATTATTTTTCTCCCCCGTCTCTCATTTTTTCCCCCTTTAAATTTGAAAAAAAAAAAAAAGTAGCACAGGTTGTAAAACTCTTGTCTCGCATGCCAGGAATTAGGGATAAAATACCCCCGGAAGAGAGATGTGACAGTCATCACTATTGAATTGCCTTGATGGGGCAAAACTAGGCCATAGAAACCCAGAAAAATTCTGGGACAGTAAGTGGAGTTCTCCAACCTTTTACCTTCTACCCTTCCATAGTTCCCTTATAAACTCACCCACAAAGAGGAGGGTGAAGATGATAATGAGCTGGTACACAGCATGGCCCAAAATATTCTTCATCATGGTCCGGGATATGAGGGGTTTGTTGCGTCCATAGGGCTTGCGCAGCAGCAGGGCCTCAGTTGGGGGCTCGGTGGCAAGTGCCAAGGAAGCAAATGTATCCATAATGAGATTCACCCACAGCATCTGTACTGCCTTGAGAGGAGAATCCTTTAGGAGAAATTGAGAAGGAAAATTGTAACATCTCCAGGAAGTGAAGGAAGCATATACCCATCCACCTCTAGGCATACTAAGCATACTCTGTCCACCTGAAGATACCAATGGACTTGCTTAGAAATGAACAAACTTTCTTGTAACACAGTCAGTGCTAGTCAAAGCCTCTGGTTCTTGGGGTGCATTAGGTGAACTTCATCAATATATTTATCTATGTCTCATCACAACGGGCATTTCCAGGCAGAAGTTCTCAAGAGAGATTGAGGCCTTATGGGAGAGCAGCCATGCTACTCTATGGTAATCAAGATTCAGAAGGAATCTGGTAGCACCTCTGTTAGGCAAAAAAGGCTCCTATCAGGCTACTTTTGAATTTCAGCTTGAGTCTATGCTTCCACTAAGTGCTGAGCTTATGAATAACTGCCTCGAAATCAAAAGGAGGAGGAAATGGAGAAGGAATCCATCAAGAATGAAAGGAGTCTTGCTTTCCTGAATTTACCTGTGGATGGACAGCTCCAAAGACTCGTCCTTGTGCTCCATTTTTATTCTTTTATTTTAAACTGGATTGAATTGGACAGTCCTTTAAATAGAAGATGACAGTGAAGAGAGTACTGTATTGTACAGTTTGGGAGTAACATGTTTTTATTTTTGACTGTATTTCCATGAACCAGCAAACAGCCAGATCTTTTCACTGGTAAGGAAGGAATTGGCAGATGTCTCTCTTTCTAAAGCTTTCTTCTGAATCTTTATGTCTAGGGGCAGAATTTTGGGATTTGTCGCACACTTGGACAGATACTCAATTAGCAATAGCAATAGCAGTTAGACTTATATACCGCTTCATAGGGCTTTCAGCCCTCTCTAAGCGGTTTACAGAGTCAGCATATCGCCCC